TTATATGCATATAATAGCCTCTTTAACAGTTGTGTATGGTTTTACAATGACCAGGTCAAAGGGTTGTATAGGTTCTTAAAAATTGCCATTACAATGTCAAACAAGCAAAGTAAAAGCAAAGTAGATAGTGCCCTCTGCTGAAGTATCACCATTCATTCTTCGTCTCACCAAATGGATCTTCACATATTTGTATCCCGATTTTACTGTCTTGCGATATAATCTTCACATTCCTAGTGTTTGAGCAGAGAGGGAGCAGCAGAGTGTCGGTGAATGCGAGCTGTGCAGGAGATAAGTGAGCAGTGAAGTTGTGAGTTTAGCAGTAGATGTACAATGTAGGTTACAGTGTGTAAGTGAATAAAGGCTGTTGCTGCTGGAATATGATGATCAGCTCCGCCTACATTGATTTCCACTACTATCTGCAGTGGAAAGCAAAGTATATGTACTCAAAGCACCTCTTCTGATTCCAGAACAACAGATGTTTGATTCAGTGTAAAAAAAAAAAGCAAAGCCAGTGTAATGGCGAGCATTCTTTAGGGGGCTATTGTGGTAGTAAAAAGGGCTTATGACCATTAGCTGTAACCTCATATTACACTAAGTAGCATTTTCACCATTTGTTCTCTCACTTTAAAAAAATTAAACCGCCTGAATCAGTGCTGGATTTGTTGCACTTGATGTAGTACTTTTATCTTTGTAACCATACGATGTGTGTGTTCTCAGGGTGTTAATGCACTGGGTGTGGCACTCGAACACAGACTATGGCAACTCCCACCAGTGCATTCATTATCCAATCGATTTAAAATCCTCTTCTACTTCCACAACTACCCGATGACATTTATACACATGTTCTAGATTAACTAAATATGTTGTTTGTCTCATACCTTTGTACCATTTTGACTCTGATGAAGGCACAGTAGTGTTTAATCCCAATTAAAGTGTGCTCCAGCCCTTCCCCTTCAATTATATAATGTCTTCACAGTCAATGGAGCTGATAAAAAGAACTGAATCTAAATGTGTTCCCCTTAAAAGTGTGATCCAGTCCAGCTAAAGCCCAATATAGCTAACTAGACTGATTTTCTGCTGACCCAAACAATGCTGCTCTGCAACTTGAATGGGGTGGCCACTCTGTCCTCTTTCTGTAAGTCTGACATCAGGCAACAGATGACCCACAGCTGACAGACCGCACCTGGCAGAGAGGAACACCTCTGAGGCAACTGTTCAAATACACCGAGCATGCTTTCTCTCTCAAACAGGCAGTCAGCTGACTCCAACCCAGGGGAACTAATTTACACCTTAAGGAGAAAGCTGTGGATGTTCCTGACTTTACTACCCAACATCACATCACTACACCACGTAGCTTGTGGTTGTACCTTTAATAGATGTACTAGACTGAACATCAGTGCATAATCACAAACCCCTTCTCTCCTACCCATAAACAGAGCGTGTAGTCTTCTGGGAGGCATGTCATTTGTCGTCAGTGTAAACGGAAGCTAACGTAAAGCGGAGCGACTAGTGCGCTAGAGGCAAAACCAGCTATGTAGGAGCGAGCCCGGGAACCATGTCGCCGTGTGTCGTTTCCCTCTCCGACAACAATGAGAGCTCCTACCTTTTCTGGCGTAGCGAGAGTCAAATCTACTGGGAGCTTCCTTCGCCCCGGACCCGCCGCCGACGCCAAACAGCCTGGGCAGCACGACAAACGTGAAGAGCACGGCCGTGAAAGCCAGGGCGACTTGCTGTGATGTTGACAAAACCATCCTCTCGTGAGCACACAGACGGCACAAGACACCCGCCGAAGAAGGAGCAACGTCAGCGGCTACAAGATGTGTCTGAAGCGGCGGGAGACCGGGAGGAAGCGGTTCGCTGTCAGGCGAAAGCACGATGGAAGTAAAGTGATATTTGAGAGCTAAAGACCCAGACCCAGCTGTGCTCTGCTCCGCTGCAATAACAAGAACAGCACTTCCGGGAAGGAGCTTTTCAGAATAGAAGCGTCATCAGAAAAAACCTCCGGCATTGATTCGCAAAAGTGAAACGCTAACCGGGACTGGAATTTTTGTTTTAGAGGCAGCTTTTAACCGAGCTATTAATTAATTAATGTAGTATTTTATATATTTGATCATTGTAAAGTCTCATGTACAATAGGAACAAATTAGTGGTGCAAGTAGTCTATTTTACCTAAATGAATTAACAATGAACGATAACATAACATTAGGAAATACACATTAAATAAGAATAGAGTAGAAAAAATACAAGATATGATAACAAATAAGATAATAATAATAATAATAATAATAATAAGACAAACAATAAGAATACGAGGTATAAATATGTATATACAGCTTTTTATACACAGATGTGATTGATATAGAACATTGCAGAGGTCACAGCAGAAAAATATAGTATAATTGGCTATAAATATAGGGTTATGAATATACAGTACAGGTATAATATTATCTGAACAATGTGTTTCTAAGAAAGGATATATATGTATAATTGCATTTGCACAGTACAGGTATATAAAAAAAAAGTGTCGAAGCCAACAAACCGTAGGTGTGTACAAGGACTGTGAGTATTCTGTATTGTTTTCCAAAGGGCAGAGGAACAAACATGCAATTGCTGGGGAGAGTTGGACCCTTGAGTGTTGTCCGGAAGCAGTGGGCTCTGTTAATGTCCTCTAATGTTGGAAGTTGGTTGAGTGGTTTTGACCACACTCAGTGCTCTGTGCAATATAAGTGCCATTTTGTTTTGAAATATTTTAGTAACTCAGAGCCCTGCCTACTTTTGCCCCTCTTTTCTTCAAGAAGACCACAAAATATATCAAGTCCTTTAATAGATCATGTGAAATCTAAACCGACAGAGGAACTTAAAACTTCAGACATGTTCCACCTCACCTCCATTGATGAGGTCATGGTGGTTGTGTTGTTCAGAGCACCACCGTGGGTTCTGATCAGACTGTCTGTGGGCTGGCTCACTGTCGGTAAAGATTCAAGTATAATCTGCAAACATTTTGTGAAATATGTATTTGTTTTCTTGCCGAGAGCTAGATGTAAAGATCGGTCTATTAAATATGAAGCTACAGGAGATGGTAGGAAACAGCTTGGTGAGCTCTGTCCAAAGGTAAGAAGAATGTGGCTACTAGCTCAACAATGAACATGTCTGCTTTGTAAATTATAAAATAAACCTATGGAAGCCAAGAACGGCTGCCCTTGCAATCATTTTTTTAATGCCGTTATCTCGAGATCACAAGTCAATTTTTCTGTGATCCTGAGATAATCCACCCACTATTACGAGAAAATAAATGGTCATTTATCAGACACCAGGAGTGCCATGCCAGCATGCATAGAATATAAATAGCATTGGTTCAACATAATGGACAATGCGTGGATGAGTGACATGCACGTGCCAGTCACTATTCATTTACGTACTGACCAAAATGAGCCAGCTGCCCGTGCATGAAAAGAATCTAGAAGTATCTTTTCCTGATATATTTTATCAGAATTTGCATGACATTCTGTAAAAACCAGAGTGTGAGCCCAGCAAGTTGTGGCCTGGCTGGGAGCAGTGACTTCTGGGAGTCTTGCCCTATCTGTGAGGTTTCTAGGCGACCAGCAGAGACTCCATAAAGTCTGGAGAATTTGTTGACCCATATGTGGAAAAAAAAATTCCCAAATTTATTTGGAAGTAATGGGGCAAATGTTTTTTACCCTAATAGTCTGTGATTTGGGTCTGGGTCTTAATATCTTTCCACATGTGGCTGGCATTTTTGTGACAGCATTTAGCCTTTCTGTTACCTTTCTCCAGGTTTGACTTGGGCATCCAGTCCTGTTCTGCATCTTGCATGTTTACACAAAAAGAAAAGGCATGCCACAACTTTACTGTGGCACACGTTTTTAAGTGTCACTTTTGTTCATTGCAGCAGAGGGCCTGCAATTATTGTCTTGCAAATAAATGGCTGGGGAAAAGTGTGAACCTGGTGATTTAGCCTCAGAGTGCCTAAACTACCTGTAGCACATGCATGTTGTTGTTGTTATGCAAACTAAATTGTATTCTCCATTTTATTATAACACCAATAAGTCTGTGTTTCTGGCGGGTGTGATGACTAATTAAAGAAGATATTCTAAATACATTTTACAAATGAGCTATAAGCTTTTATTTTGAATGCTACATACCCAAACTTCCGGGACTACTGGCTTGACTCATCTCTGGTAGTAAAACAGCAAGAAACAAATGCGACTGCCCCCTGCCTTCTGTTTTCTACATTTCTACATTTCTGTTTTTATACTGAAACTCATGATTCCCCACAAGAGTTGGGCTTGGGGCAACACTTCACTTTATCAGCAACATGCAAAAGAGGCTGACACATGTGAACTTACTTCATAAGACTGTGAGGAGGTGCTGCGAACTGTGAGAAATGCTCTGAAAACCAGATTTGAGAGTGCAAAGACTAAAGCAGCTGAGAGGTTGGTAGATTTAGTCAACCACATATTATTAGATTATTAAACATTATTAAACAATCTAAAATATTTCAGAAGATTTCATACAGGATCTGATCCATGCCTAAAGAAAGAGGGTGACCTTTTATCCGTTCCGAGCTCTACCTGTAAATCTAAAGGTGACCGTGCCTTTGCTGTTTTAGCCCCAACATTGTGGAATAGTCTTCCCCATTCACTCAGATTCACTGAATCTGTGGACAGTTTTAA